TCTTGCATTTCTAAAATAATTTTATATATTTTTTAACATTTTCATTAAGTTTACATTGATTTTTAAAAACTGTATACATTACGTTCGAGAAATAGATACAACCATGTTCAGTTTTAGAAACATGGCTTTTAGGTTGTTCAGTAATTGGATCAGAAGCATATTCAGATATTTTCCTCAATTACTTCATTTTAACTAAATAATATTAGTTTTTGCGACGTTATTTTAAAAATAGAAGTGTTGTAATTTAAAATAATTACAAAATCTTTTACCGATATGCTTATTTTAGTATTTTAAATTGGTTATATATTGAATGTCTCTTTCTAAGCTGTTCAGAAATTGGTACGTTTACCTTATGTTCCGTCCATCCTCCTTGGCCAGTGTGATATTTAAATAAGCACTATCGAACAAATTGAATACTAATGATATACAGAGTGTCTGGAAATTACCGCCAAATGTTTTGTGTGTGGGTAGAACAGACTATACTAAGTCGAAAAGTCCTGTACCAATTTGCGGTGCCAGCAATAGTTAACGAGATATTAATTACTAAAAATTGCAAAATAATGGTCTTGAATAATTTTTTACTCAAATACTATCAACTTTACAGAAAAACTGCGAGAGACAAAAATCATTTATTTTCTTCTCATAAAGTTCTGAGAATTTTTTCAGAATTTTTTATTAACTTTTTAGTACTGCATTTTCTTATTTTTACCAACATGAGAAAAAAAGGTTTTAAAAAATTCTAAAAAAATTCTCAGAACTTTATGAGAAGAAAATAAATGATTTTTGTCTCTCGCAGTTTTTCTGTAAAGTTGGTAGTATTTGAGTAAAAAATTATTCAAGACCAAATATTTTGTAATTTTTAGTAATTAATATCTCGTTAACTATTGCTGACACCGTAAAATGGTACAGGAGTTTTCGACTCAGTATAGTCTGTTCTACCCACGCATGAAACATTTGGCGGTAATTTCCAGACACCCTGTATAAAAAGCAAACCGTATACTATACTTTACGGTATATATTGGATTAAGTAAAATGAAGATAAACAGAAATAAAGAAAGAAAGAATAACATATATTTTAATTTATTTCTACAAAATATAATAAATCAATGATTTATAAAATTTTCGAATATATGTTTTTATACAAAATGAGTATAGTTTTATCGAAATTTAAAGTAAATTACGTATAAATACTTACCTTATGGTAGATATACTAACTTGTAGATATTATAACAAAGGACACAGTGCGTCAGATATGTACTGTGTTTTTGTGTTGTTTATCTCACATATTTCTAAAATTAGCATTGTAAACCACGTGATAAGGATTGGTTGCGTTTAGCAGAGAAAACTAATCAGTTTCTAGTGCTTAGTGATTCTTTAACATGATTTGTTCTTGCCTTTAATTCTTCGCTAGATCTAAATGTAAGAACCAATTATATTAAAGAATTACTAAGCGCTAACTGATTAGTTTCCTTTATTGCTAAACGCAGCTATTGATAAGTATTTTCTAGAGCACGAAATATGAATATTGGATTGTGAACAAGTTATGTAAAAAATATATAAATATTGATATGTATCAATCCTTTCCCTGTGGAAAGTTTGACGTATACTGCAGGTAAACGCTCAGTATAAAAATTACAATATTCAAACAAAAACAAAATCAATATAATATTCAATTTTTAAATAATTGCTGACAAGATAAGTGCCGAGCATTCTAAAGGCATACTTATTCGAAAATTTGACAATCTGAAAATTTCTTAAATCTAAAATTAGTTGCATGTATTAAATCTTCAGTTTTATTTAAACACGTCATCTCAAAATACATTTCTTATATTAAATTTTCTAGTGCGTACAAATATAACATCGTAAAAAAATTCTTAGCATATACATAGTATCAATTATATCACAATTGGTAAATGATATAATTCTGTATTTAATAACAAAAAAGTTGCATGTTCTGAAAACTATATGTCAGCTTTTATTTGCTTGATTGCATGAAGGACATAAAAAATTGCTGTACATGACGACCAAGACCACTGTTGTAATAATGGGTTAAATTTTACTCCATGAATTAATTTCGTTCTGCATCCATCTTTTAAAAAAAGTTTAAACAATTATGACACAATATAAAAGTGCTTACATGATAATTATTTACAAAATTATTTTAATCATACACATATCTTTATAAAATAAAATGTCTTTTTTTCATTAGATAACAGCGGAGATAAAACTTACAATCATCCAATATATGTTGAACTTCATGTGGTGTGATAAATTTATTCCAGTCATGAGTACCAAGAGGTATTCTTTTGAAAATGTATTCCGCTCCTATAATAACAACCAACCAAGATGCTATAGTTCTATTTTCTGTTGTTATAAAAATCGATCCACCAGGTTTCAGAAGTTCCACACATTTCTGTAGATAAAATATTCTTAAAATATTTAATTTTATGTCTATATTCAATAATTTTTAGAATCTTTATCGTAATATACAAGGTGTCTCAGAAACAGGTGGCCAAACTTTAGTATCGTATTTTATTGTTCCTAAGGATGAAAAAAAGATCATATAAACATAAGTCTGGAAATTCTTCAATGTTTAGATAGAAACTAATTTTAGTTTCTATCTACGATAGTCGATAAGCTGCCTTCGATGACAGTATAGCTTACTCTACCACAATATTTACTTCGTGTGATATCTAAATTTGTTCATGTAAATTTTTGTGATGAATAGAAAGTGTTTATATTTCGAAAAAGAAGTTTCCGGGCTTATATTTATATCACCTTTTTTCATCTTTAGAGACAGTAGAACATGATATCAAAGTTTTGTCATCTATTTCTGGGATACCCTGTATACCTTTAAAAATAGTTGCGCATCCGCTACATGCTCCAAGACCTCAGACGCCACAACAGCATCGTACGATTCCCTCTCCTTTTGAGAGAAATCTTCCACAGTTGTTTGAATATAGTTCACTCTCTTTGATATATTAGGATCTAATTTTATATGCTCTTTTGCAACATTTAATAACTCTGCCGATACATCTATTCCGGTTACTTGTGCTCCTATTCTAGCTAAACGCTCAGTCAATATACCTCCGCCACAGCCAACATCCACAATCTTGACTCCTTCCAACGGAAGAGCTACATTTTGCGTTTTGATTCCGGTGTTTGCCAATCCTTCCCTCACAAACTTTATTCTAAACGGAGTATATAAATGAAGGTCAAGAAACCGTCCGTTCTCATCCCACCAGTCATTTTTGAAAGCAGAGAGATGTTCAACATCCTTAGGATCCACTGTCGACATTGGTTTGACGATTTTATAGATACATTTTGATAATCTGCAATAAATAATCAATCTTTATTTTCTTATATCTTTAGCTAAATAAATCAATACAAGGCCTCGGTAGTCTAATGGCTCAGGACGCTCAGTACAGTTTACAAGAGATCCGGGTTCAAGTCCCGGCCGAGGTAATATTTTTCGTAATTTTATTAACAGTTTTTATATATTAATATCTTTATAATATACGATGCTTGATGGTAGCATCAAATTATTGAATTGCTTGTCAATTTAATTCGCGATTACTAGAGTAGTTTTAATTGCGTTTATTTAGTCCGGAAAAACAATTCAGCGCGCAGTTAGAAAAAGACTAAATATGGTATATATGCAAGTACATATATAGTATATATTAGTAATTCAAGATTGAATTATTTAAAATAGCAACAAAGATCCAACTCCGATCGTAATAGGCATTTAAATTTCTAGTATTGGAGTTAAATCAATACAATAATAATGCTTATTAGAGCCAACACAGTATATTGGTGTGAAATTTAATTTATTTAAAAAGATTTCAAACAATACGCAAATGTTTCGATCCAATTTTTTAGCTAAACACTTTTATACAATATACTTATATAACCAAAGGTAAATAAAATACTGTAAGATTACTAGTTTTATTTATAGAATGAAAGGTTCAATTCCGCGATATGTCTTCGATACTTTTGAACCCTGTGGTTACCGTGATTGTCATGCGCGGAGTGTGTGACCATAAAGGTTGCGCGAGATCTCTAGTGAGGAAGGCTTTGTATAGATTTAGAGTTAAATTGAGGTAATTACCGAAATATGAGCGGATAATTTTATTGTAATGTACAGAATAAGTTACTACCGTTATTTACTCCTTCACACTCACACACACAATTAACTTAGACGCAACGGCCGGATACTGACGAGAAAGCGAGAATGTGTTAGTGTTTGAAATCGGTACCTGAGGGCCACTTTCACCAAGCTCAGTTAACTTAACCAGCCTAATAACTGTAATGAAATAGAAAGAGATAGGAATAGTACCGACGATGGTGAAAGTGGCTCTTGGGTAAGTGAGAATCTCGGAATATTCTCTCATGGTCCGACGCTGGTTCCTGCTCCAGGACGCATCTCTCCTCTTTTACTTCGACGCATGCGCTTGGCGCTCCTGGCTGTTACCGCGCCGGTTGCCCAGTTGGCATTTTAGTTAGCCTCTTTACATTTTATAAAAATCTTACAATACTGATGTTCCCTTAATTAAAAACTCTCATGATATATCATATTTTTAAGAATTTTGTCATATTTTAAATTGAAAAAAATTTTTAACAATGTACACTTTAAACTTTTTCAGATTTTATATTTTCTTCAGAAATTATATAAATTAAGAAATTTTATATTTTATAATTTATACAGGGTGTCTGGAAATTACCGCCAAATGTTTCGTGCGTGGGTAGAACAGATTATACTGAGTCGGAAAGCTCTGTATCATTTTGCGGTGTCAGTAATAGTTAACGAGATATTAATTACTAAAAATTGCAAAATATTGGTCTTGAATAATTTTTTACTCAAATACTATCAACTTTACAGGAAAACTGCGAGAGACAAAAATCATTTATTTTCTTCTCATAAAATTCTTAGAATTTTTTCAGAATTTTTTAATACCGTATTTTCTCATGTTGGTAAAAATAAGAAAATGCAGTACTAAAAAGTTAATTAAAAATTCTGAAAAAATTCTCAGAACTTTATGAGAAGAAAATAAATGATTTTTGTTTTTTGCAGTTTTTCTGTAAATTTGATAGTATTTGAGTAAAAAATTATTCAAGACCATTATTTTGCAATTTTTAGTAATTAATATCTCGTTAACTATTGCTGATAAAATGATATAGTACTTTTCGACTCAGTATAGTCTGTTCTACCCACGTACGAAACATTTGGCGGCAATTTTCAGACACCCTGTATATACAGAGAATTCTAATAAAGGTATAAACTTTCCTAGTATTTATGAAGTGTTCCAATTTATAAAAGTCTGAGAAATTTTTATGAAATATTACAAAATTAAATAGAAATATTGCAAAACATTCTTAAATTTATACAAAAATCCTAAAAAATTATATAAAAATTTTTAGAGACAATTTTTACCAGAGTTCATCTATATAAAACAAAAAATATATCATAAACAAAGTAAATTTACTAAACAAAAAGAAAAAGAAACAACTTGAGATTCATATCACATTAGATATATTACACAATACATAATTAGATATCATACCTGTTTCGTAAAATACTTCTTGATGATCCAAAAGTACGTTTAAAAACATTCCAAGCCATCATGTTTGATCACAGTTTACAACCTAACAGCAAGTCAGGAACTATCCAACAAATAGTAAGATTACAGCAAGATATATCTGAAAAATACCATTTCTTTAATTTTGATAACAAATTGAAATAATTGAATGACACAAAAAAGATAGAGAAATGAAATAAAATTATCTCAACAGAAAAACAAAAGTTTTACATTAACAAAACAGGTTTGTTAGAATTTTCTGAAACTATGTGAAAGATTATTCAATATAAAAAAGCTTTATAATTTATAATAAAATTAATTTGACTTGTGTCATAATAATCTACAACTACGTGATATACACATAAATTCATGATATTACTCTATATTTATTTTATATTTCTCTAAATTATATTTATGTGCCATATATCATACATAAATGCATAATATTATATATGGCACATAAATATAATTTAGAGAGATATAAAATAAATATGATTGAGATAAACTTCAATAATTTTTCAGTTTTGTAATTTTCAGATAAAGAACAAACTCTATGTTAGTAAACTGACAGTAAATTCAATCAGAAATGGCTACATATTAGCATTACAGTCGTTGTACAAGTTTTATACACAGTAAAAAAAGCTTTGCAACGACACTGTAATGCTACAATTACAATTATTAAGTTACAAAATAGATTAAATTTGTCTTAAGGCGATGCTAAAGTCTCCTGTTTTATCACATTTCCACTCGGTGAAAAATCTCTGTATTGGATATACGGATTGCAAAAGTATTATTGCTTAAATTAAAGTACGCACAAACAGGACCTCAGCTGCACTGGATTTCATGAGAAAATCGATAAAAAATTTCAGATTCGTTAAAAATTCACTTTTGGCTCATACAGCTGTCACCTCAGATATATATTTGCTTTAATATAAGAGTTGTAGAGTCCATATCTTGAAAATAAGCGTGCAGCTGAGGTCACATTATTGAAACGAACGATACCGAGTTTATAGAACTAAGATTGAAAGTCTAGAAAAGAAATATTTCCACCGAATAGAAAATACGTGTATACAGGTGTTTTGCGAAGACTGGGACTGTCAACAGAGCCGAAATTTCGTGTAGCAGTAGTTGCGCGGTCTTGCGATCGATGGTGCTGGCATTTGTTAGATAAGAACAGACGTATGCGTTTGAGTAAGACAAAATGATATATATTATATAATATAATGTAAAAACTAAATCAAAGATGTCACCACTATTATCGAATTTGGAATTAAAAAAGTCTTTACTATCGACCTTGATTGAGTTGGGTAATCGGTTTAGCATCTCCTTAACACTTTACTTTTATCTATTCTTGACCTATAACTTATAATTTTTTGCAAAAATGTTCATCATCCACTTGTAACGATTTTATTAATCTGAATAAGAATAACTTTATTCGGGATTTAAAACATTAAAAAAACATTAGAAATCACACAAGACATTAAAATAATATACTAAATATAAAAAATATATGCTGTTTCCTTCAACGGCCCAGGGTGTAAACTATCAAAAATTTCGGAGTGATGCTGAAGAATTAAATTCAATACCAAAATCAATTTGGTAGTCAAAATATTAAGCTGATTCTACAACGAGTCGGTAGTCCTATCGGTGAATCGGTGAATTTGGCCAACAGTCAACTTGTACGACTAAAGATTGCCGATTTCCTGACTACTCAGCCAAAAAATCTGCGTTGGCGACAAATCAGTCGGCGGTCTAGCGAAACCAGTAACAACACCTTCAAGTACGAGCCCATGTCCGTGTGCTCGCCTGCGGTGCGCCGAGAAAGGGAGCTCCTTCTCACACTAGTCACTTGTTTCGAGCGACCGAAAATGCTTTCTCGGCAATCTCGGCCGCTCGGCGGCCCTAGACATCAATAAGGGGCGGAGGGCATTCTAAATAACATATAAGTTTTAATCAATTGTAGTACCCCTTCCATTAATCCAGAATAGTATAAATCATATTAAAACGCAACAGTTTACGAGATATTTAATTGTTTACGATTTTTCATGCGCGTTATATAGTATACCCTCCTTCATAAATTCGAGTAGCAAGAATAGTTCAGTAGAAGTAGAATTTTACCGGAAAAAATTATAAACCAGCATTTCTTTTCACGAAAGTCTCGAAAGGCCATCAGAAAAGAAATCCGTATGTTTGAGACTCGAAACTTGTGAAGAAAATATACGAAAAAAATCGAATAGTTGCAAAAAGCACGTTTTTTGCTTATAAAACGAAAGATATTGATTATATGGAAAAAAATTCGGTATAAAAAATGTAGGTATTCGAAATACCTACAAAATGAGACGTGGAACATTAAAATCGATCTATTAGTTCAGCAGAGAAAAAATAAAAAACACCAAAAAAGGCCTTTTTTCACTCGCTCTCTGTTTATTGAGATATAAATGCGAAGCTTTGAAATTCTCGTAAAATGTAATAATGACGAACAAATCTAGCCCTGAAATGTTCATTAGCTTTTGCAAAAAGCCATTTGTTCACTGAAAACCTGTCTGCGGAAAACTTAATTTCTTCATCTTTGAGCAGTCGCACAGGGATGATTTTTCTTCTTCAAGAGTTGCACTATCACGTACACTTAATAACAAAACAATTTTTTACAGTTAAACTATTATGAAACGACTGTAAAAAGTGGGTATCTTTTTTCGTATAAAAAAATAGAATAATTCCGTTAATATGCATCATATCAAATAGCCGAGTGAAGCATTCGACATCTGACATTTTTCTACGAATTTAAAAAAAAAAGATTACCCTCCGATTATTTTTTTTTTAGGAGCCGAGATAACTATTTTTTTCAAAAAATTATTATGGCTCTAATTTTTAAGATTAAGTGTTCCGTCTGGCACCAGTTTTTCAAGGAAGAATTAAATTTGCTGTTAAAAAATTCTCAAATTTTTTGCTGGCGATTTAAAACCATTGAAAAGTTGAAGAACGCGAGCGAGGCAGTGCACCGGGCGGAGTGAGGAAAGTCGGCGCGCAGTCGAGTGGGGAAGATCGGGCCGCTCGGAAAAAAATCATCTACGTCAATTTATTGCTGAGAAAATGTAAATTTAGCGAATTTTTACGCACAAAATCAGATACGCGTGAATCGCCAAGTGGCCGAGATTGCCGAGCAAGCATTTTCGGTCGCTTGAAACAAGCGACTAGTGTGAGAACAGGGCTGGACATGTATTTGAAATACTTTTATTTAAAACACATTATTTGCAATACAAGCATATTTTGTATTTTTATTTTAGCGAATCGCACAAAAGTATTACATGTATTTTATATTTAAAATCGAAAGATTGAAAGCTTTTTGTATCTTGTAATTCAAATAATAAGGTTGATTATCAATGTTAGTATTTGAAATACAAAATACAAAATACTTTCATAATTTTTGTTATTAATACTGAAATATAAAATACAAAATACTTTTATATACTCCCATGAAATACAAAATACAAAATATTTTCATGTACTTTGAACAAATACAAAATATAATTGTCTTACCAATACTGTTTTTCGAATAAAAGTATTTCAAATACATGCCTACCCCTGTGTGAGAAGGAGCTCGCTGTCTCGCTAGCACTCTCGGGGCGCCGCAGGCGAGCACATGGACATGGGCTCGTGTTTGCATGTGTGTTACAGCCATAGACTTCTATATATACTACTAGACTGCTTACTCCCTTAGTACAAGCTTGTATAAAGTGGATCCACAGTTTAACCATATACAGTTACGACAGTCCCTGAAATTTTTCGTGTAATGTTTCAAGGCGCATGTGTCAACTATACTATCGAAAACATGGCGGTATCAGAATAATAATAAGTGTGTTTGGAGGTTATATGTTTGTATGATTCTGTGATATTATATATTATATAAGTGAAATATTGTTAACGAAGATTTTATTCTTAATGCGTTTTTTTTAATATCCTATTTCGAAGTTATAATAATGAGTAAAGGTGGATTTTCTTGTGTGATGTGTAAAAACATATCTGGACGAAATGCAGGAATAAAGTTTTTTCGTTTTCCAAAAGATCCAGAAATGTAAGTAAAAATTTTCTCTATAAATATGCAAATAAATATATATGTAGTACAAAGTTTATATAATGATATTGAAATTATACAATTATATTTTTGCATAGGTCTAAATTATGGCTCAAATCTTGTAATCGTATGATTGATAGAACAACTGAAGAACTTTATAAAAATTATCGAATTTGTAGTGATCATTTTAATGAAAACATGTATCTTAATGACTTGAAAACTAGACTTCTTCCTGCAGCTATACCAAATGCAACACAGACCACATCAAATTTTCTGACAAATCCAACTTGTGACACTTACGTTATTTCAAGAGGTAATATTCTGCTTTATATTTTATTCAACTGAAGCTGACTTTTCATGTGCAACTGCAGCATATGCTGCAACAGCAAAATGCTAACATTGGTTAAAAGTTTTTTTATGAGCTGATGCTATCCAATCAGTTCTTGAAAGTATGAATCAGATGACGTTTTGCTGCCGCAGCATATATGCTACGTATGAAAAATTAGCTTGAGAGATACTAATAAATATTTTTTATCACAGAGAATATAGAATTTAGACAGAAATCTTATCAGGAGGAATTAGAAATAAAAGCAAACGAATCGTTATATGAACAAATGGACCTAGGTGAAAGCAATAATTCTAGTAAGTTTAAACTAGCATAGATGTAGACAATAATTAAAAATAGATTAATGATTATAAAAAATGTCTTATTAATAAATTACCAAATATCATTCTTAATGAACGCTAAGTGACACACAATTAACAGAATTAATATTATAGATGTATTTATTATATGTGTAATAATTATTAGTATTTGTAGCTGATGGGACGCTAATAGAGCCAGATGAGCGTAATATTTCAAGAGGAGAAATTGCCTCTTCAAAACTAGTTCATAAACAAATTCAGACGCCTCAGAATTTGTCTCATGATTCTCCAAGAAAAAATCGATTAAAATCAAGAATTGTCTCATTGCAGCGGGAAAATAGAAAACTGAAACAACAATTGAAAAATGCTCTTACAAAATCAGACAGAGAAGATTTAAAATATTACTGTCAACTAACAGATAAATTTTTATTTCCTTCTGCAGCAACTTTTGTGAAGGAACAAGCTAAACTAAACCAACAATTAACAAAAGGCAAGAAATATTCTATGCAATTCAAACAATTTTGTCTCAGTATATATTTTATTAGTCCTAAGAGTTACAAAGTATTGCGTAATGAACTAATATTACCAAGTCCAAGAACTCTTCAACGATCAATTGAAACGTTACAAATATCTCCCGGACTTAATGATATCATTTTTTATATGATAAAGGAAAAAATTGTCAATTTTACATTACTGGACAGGTTATGTGTAATTTGTATTGACGAAATGTCGTTAAAAGCAAATCTTTATTATAATATTAGTCGAGATGAGGTTATAGGATTTCAAGATCTTGGACATGAAAAGAAATTCCTCCCAGCATGTAATGCGGCCGTAATTATGATAAGAGGGATCTGTAAATCTTGGAAGCAACCAGTTGCTTATTATCTATTGAATTCAACTTTTAATGAAGCAGACGTACAAAATGTTGTACAAGAAGTGATCAGGAAGCTTCAAAATATCGGATTAAAAATTGTCGCACTTGTTACAGATATGGGCAAAAACTATCAAAATATGATTAAGCGCCTTGGTGTAACTTTAGAAGTCCCATATTTTGAAATTAATGGTGAACGTATTCATTATTTATAGCCGACCCACACTTGATTAAAGCTACAAGAAACAATATTTATATTAATAATATTAAATACAATAGTGACTCAATTTTTTGGAATCATATTGCAACTCTTTATAATTATGATAAAGATCAACCAAATCGATTAGCTTATAAACTAACAGATATTCATGTTCAACCATCAGGGTTTGATCGAATGAAAGTAAAATATGCTGTTCATGTCTTAAGCGCTACAGTGGCAGCTGCCTTGAAAACACTATACGTTATAAATATTTTACCAGCAGTTGTATTAACGACAGTAGAATTTATTGAAAAATTCGATAGTTTGTTTGATATCTTTAACTCATCCACAGTAATAGATAAGAAAAGTTACAGGAAAGCTTTTACTGGAGCACAGCATCAATTACAATTTTTACAGGAAATGTTCGATTATTTGTCAGGCTTAACAGTTTTTTCAAAAAAAGGAAAAAATATTACAAATACGGTTCAAGTTTTCAAGTTTTGGAAATTAAACATAAAATCTCTACAATCACTGTGGACTTATATGCAAACTACTCAGCCAGATATTAAGTTTTTGCTTACAAGGCGGTTGAATCAAGATTCACTAGAGAATTATTTTGGAAAAATGCGAACGTTGAACGGCGCGGCGTATACTGTCACACCATCACAATTTTATTTCGGTTTTAGAAAATTATTTTCTACATTTTATTTGACGACGGGAACTGGAAACTGTGCCGAAGATCGCGACTTAATGCTTATGAATGTTGCTAATTATAAAGCTCAAAATGTACAACATGTTGATGTGAATCAGCAAGATAAAGGAAAACCAATTTTAATTGATGATCATGATTATCGAAACATAAGTCTATCGGAACAAAATGCTTTTCGATATGTTTGTGGATATTTAATGCGAAAGTGTATCATAAAACATTCCTGTGATATTTGCCTTAAGTTTGCGAGAGAATATGTAGACTTGAATAACAATTCATATTATTGTTTCTTTCGAGCTTATGAATCTACAGAAAATAATTTGTTTGGTAGTTTGTTAATGCCAACTGATGACTTCGTTACATATATACAAGTTTTAGAAAACAATTTTTTTCAAAATATAAAAACCTTAATATTTCAAAAAGGTGTTGTAGCTAATCTCATTGAAATTTTTTCTCACATACCATTTGCTTATCCATGTCCTAATTTTCCAAAGGAATATTTGATAAGGCTTTTTGCTCGAGTCCGACTTTTTTTTACTTTAAGAAACATTAACAGTACATTCAAGACTCAACGAGGACATAGAAAAGTAATAATTTTGAAACATTGATTACTATTTTATATTTACAAGAAATAATTATTTATTTTTTGAAAACTTTTAATTTGCTACGCATTAATAAGCTACACATTGAAGAGTTTACTTATATTTTGAAAATTAGTTCAGCTTTGTATGTGATATTTACGTTTTGTTATGTTTTATATGCTATTTTTTCTATAAGTATAACGGAATAATATATGTGATAGAACTTTTATGTAAAATACGTTATTATTTTTTATATAAAATATATCAATGTAATTATAAAACTGAAATAAATGCATAAATATGAAAATATGAATGAAATGCATGAAATTAATTATAAAGCTACTATTTACAATCTGGCCTGATGTAAAAACCGTTTAAATTTATCCTAAGATAGTAGTTAATAAAAAATATCATCAACACAAGAGCATTAGTTTTTGATGTTAGATCCGGCGATAAATATCAATCTTAGTATATTTGATTTTATTTTTTCTCTTTTCTTGCAGTAGAATAAACATGATGATTGGTTCACCAGTGCCATCAAAAACCAGATGAAAACAATCAAGCATTTAACGGATGAGTTCGGGGAGACGCTATTAGTGCTATTCGTATTATTCAATGTTTTTTTATTGTTCAATAAACGTAAAATAAAGATAGGGCAACATAAATAACATTAATAGCGTCTCCCGGCCGCAGTCAATAACTTCAGATCTGGATAATTTTGTCAAGGAGAATATACATAATATTCAATTTTTATTAGAATATTCCTATATATATTTTAATTTTTTTATAAATTACATTATTAATATTTCATATTAATGATTAATAATTGTATATTTTTTATACTTTACAACTTTATACTTTATTGTGAAAATTAAATGAATACTTTTTACACTTTGTCCATCGCACAATTGTCAACTAATTATTGAAAGTTTAAAATAACACCCAAAATGTGTGTTTTATTCGTTCAAAATACAATAAATTTCGCAATGTGTGTGTTAATTATTATCTAACCTTATTTTATAATTTAACTTTTTTTCAACTTTTTCTGTGGCTCCTTATATCACCTATTTCATTAATTACAATTGTCTATGGTAGCTAGAAATATTTAAACTCCTTTTTTATATTTCACATCTTTGAACTACACGCCTTTATACTATCCAAAACATGGCGGAGAGTCACATGACTGGGTAACACGAACATCAAAGGTTCCGCCTTTACTGTCGTAACTGTATATGGTTAAACTGTGGTGGATCCCAAAACTTATAGTGGTCCTGCGCATGCGTCACTAACTACACCGAAGGAATGTAATATGGCTGTGTCCTGCGATGATTGTAATACTGCGAATAGAGAGCCGTATTGTAGCTGTAGGTAAATGTTAAGAAGACCCCTTCACCTCAACTTTTGATAAAAATTTACTCAATTGATGCGTTTTTGCATGAAACGAAAGAATCTGGCAGAAAAAATATAGTGTCGCTCTGCCTCGCGAACGAGATCCCTTACGGAAAAAACTCTGAAAATTTCAGTGTTTATACTCAAATTTGAGTGTAAATCCCAAATTTTGGGAGTTTACTCTGAAATTTGTGCGTTTACACTTAAATTGTGAGTGTTTACACTCAAACATTGAGTATATACACTCAAAGATTGAGCGTTCACAACGTTCACACTCAAGTTTGAATTTA